CAGTGCTCAAACAGCAACAAAATAATAATTGTATCAAGCATAGCTCATCATGTATATATATAAATATAAAAATCGGTCATCTTTGTTTATATAATAAATGTGTAATATACCGATAACCAACAGCTCCATATGCCAGTGAATGTGTAGTTCGACATTGTACATTGGAAGGGAAACTCCGTTTTGCTTGTTCCTCAACAGACCTGAAAGTGTAATGTTTTAAAATACTTAACGTATTTATCATTTGTATATCTGATGCAAACAGCTCTACAGACATGCTTATTGACTTGCTTGATTACACTGGAGAGCATACCATAAAAGCCCAACAGGCTTAATCTTGAGAAGAAGCCCATCTCAAATTAGTTTGCAAAATTAGCCTCGGAAAAAAAACCCATCTCAAAAAGAATCCCATGGGCTTCTTTTCGAGAGAGTATAGGCTTTTTTTTTTTGAGATAGTACTGTACATACACTGTAATGAATTTCTAAGAAACAAAATAAATTAAAAACATGTTTGGTTTATAGAGTAGTTTAGATGATTTAATGCCGGTTAATATACTCCATGATACAGATTGATGTTACAGTGACCCTATCTAATGGTTTATAGCACCAATTCCCAAAATTTACAGCATTCTTTTTCGAAAAAAGAAGCCCCCCCCCCCACTCTTTACTTTGCGAAAGTAGCCTTGGAAAGAAGCCCATCTAAAAAAACAAAGCCAAGGGCTTCAATTTGAGGTTTTACGATATTTACATTTGAATGTGATATATATGTAAAGATAGAAAGAGAAAAGGAACTCACTTATTGAAGGCCACGTACAGGAAAGACATGTTAGGATTTCGCAACGTGAAGTTGATTAATGTCGATGTTTTCCCTGTGCCTGAAAATGAATGAAATCATAATCATTGGTCCATAACTATCATCATTAGTCTAATGATTTATCATAATCATTGGTCGTATAATTAACATTAAGGTTAACATAATTATTGGTTTTTGTTGAATCTTGTATTGTTTTATCAACATACAAAGTGTACTATAGTTCTTTGTATATAAGGGATAACCATATATCAAAAGGTAAATTTACTACACTGCATGGCCTATTCAAAGCCAGTATTTAATCTTTTATGAACGTATTTGTATCTTTTTTATCATTTTTTTAAAATGGAAGTATCTGTAAGTCAGCTGAGCCACTCATTTAAATTATACCCCGGACCGTACCACTGTA